GTGTGTGTGTGTGTGTGTGTGTGTGTGTGTGTGTGTGTGTGTGTGTGTGGTGGCACACACACACACACACATGTGCCTATATGTACTGTAACAACTGTAAAAACTGAACAGATACATAGGTTTTTGTAGTTTTTCATCGCATCAGTGGGACAGCGCTCATTAATCAACAGAAAGAAAAAGAAACTGTAAATGTGCCAGAGCTAATCTAAAGGGCTCATTTTCATTTATTGTCCCTTGCCTGAAGTTGAAGCCACCCAAAAAGTAAAATGGATAATAAAATCTGTAAACACTCCTTTACAAGTATGCACGACAAGACATGGGCCTCCTTTTGAGCTGAGTTATCAGTGTGACGTGGAGCTTCAGAGGACAGAAGTGTGTAATGGAGACAAACAAAGGTCCCCACGTTGCATGCAAACTGGGGACATTGCGGTTCACGGTTTTTAAATTAACCCCTGAGCCGCTGGGGCGCCCCTAAACCTTTTATCATTTCTGTTAAGATGAAACATTGAAGTCTGGACGCATTGTTGGATTTGTGCCATTTGTTGGGTAGTTTGTCTCAAACAACCTCGACTAAAGTTTTTATTTTTAATCTTATTTCTATTTTATTTTCCATCTTATTTTCACTGCTTTAATTCTTTTAAAATATAATCAAATGTTATACATATTAGTGGGTTTTTCTGGCTGTACCTCAGATGCCAAGGTACCAAATATTGATTGTGCACAAGATGTCAAATTTTTGGAGTTTAATAAGTTTCAAATGACCACCACTGAAGTCTATTTTTCTTCATGTTCATTCAAAATCTATCTTCCTTTATTGTAAAGCACTCAAAGCTATACAAATAAAGTTCATTATTATTAGCATTACTCCACCAGAAGAGTGTGTGTTATCTGTGAGCACATTCTGCTCGTATCTATAGACCAGCAGCTGTAGTGAAGTGAACGCACACATATCCATACAAAGCAAATGCATTCTGCACAAAGTCCAATTAAGCCAGCGGAGCTTGGCGAGAGTGATGAATCGAAGGCCCCGATGTGTGTGTGTTTATTTAATCATTAGGACATCGCCGTCCTCGGAGAAGTGCCGCTCTTGCCGCGTTATGCTATGGTTGGCGCGCGCGTGGCACTGGAGGAGCAAATTGGATCGGCATTACAGTACGTAAGCCGGGCCTCGCGTCCTGATGAGCGACCGCAAACAAATTGGATTGGTGGCGTGTAAATCTCAGGCACTTTGATGAGCCCGAAGGCGCAAATTGAATCCTTCGACAATGCAAATCTGCTGCTCCCGGCGCGCTTAAATCATGCGATTGTTCCCTGCTGTTCCGAGATACAATCTCTCACGGCCATTTGCCGCCGCGCCCTAATCCGTTTTTGATGACCGTGTAGGGATGGAGCTACACATATGGGCAACTGAATCTCCCTCTGGCCCGCTCCGACTGAATCGCTCTCTCTCTCTCTCGCTCACAACCTGTACAGTTGGCAGAGAGAGAGATGGCTTTGATTGAGCCATCCATGTGTGTTGATACAAGAGATGACTCAGGTGATTGGTCATACTTATGGGAGCTGCTGTTCTCTCTGGGAAACATTTCGATGTGTGATAAGGCGGATGACGTGACGGCTCATCTTTATCGCTCCTCATACGAGTCATAGTTATTGCTTCCTCGTGGCCTTCCCCTCTCGTCTCCTTCCTCCTGCAGCACTTTACTAGAAAATAAAGTTGTTACTTGGACTACAAACTATTTACTGATTGTGTTTTTCTTTTGCCTTTTCAGTTATCCGTACAGTGAAGACAGCAGTCAGGGGAAGCAGTACATGAACACCAGATGCCCCGCCTGGTGCGACCGAATCCTCTTGTCTCCCTCTGCCAGAGACCTGGTCTTAAAGGTGAGCCCAAACCTGACACTTCTCTGACCCAACTCGTGGGTCTTTGGTTGCGTTTTAAAAAGTCTGATTCCTTCATATTTCAAGCCTCTCCTCATATACATATATTTTATTTCTACAACTCTATCGTCCTTGATCCACATCAGCCCTCCCCGCCCCCCTCTGTCTCTTCACAGATGGAAGGATGAGGTGTCTGCGAATATTAATTTGGAGCGCTAAGCCCCGGGTCCACCCTGACAGTACATACATCCCATCACTTATAGAGTTCCAGCGAACCCCGTCGTCGTCTTCATAAAGCCACAGATCCGTCTCCTTCCTCGGAGAGTCGCGCTCGGCTTCAAATCCGTCCCGGCGCGACGTAAACTCCAGCCAATCTGCCACCTCGGTGCTGTGTGCTGGATTACTCAGAGATCCGCCATGCGGCTCGGCAAAGTCTTCCCACATTTTACTGTCACCTGTTTTACATAAGAAATAAGAAGGGAAGCGGTTGTGACTGCCATTTATCTTATTTGTTTTGCATATTAAATACTGGTAATAAGTGTGAAAGTCATGCAGCAGCGTATTGTGAATCACTCTTTACTGACCGAAGCCAGAACGCTGACCACTTTATTACAGTTGTGAAAAACAAAGACTGTAAAAACACATCCAGCTTATTGCCCACTTAATGTGTCAGAATTATGTAAAAAGGTGATTCTCTCACACACACACACACAGACACACACACACACAGCTGGGCCGTTGTTTGCTTTTCCTCCCCCTCAAGCGTCAGCTAATTGCTTGTAATGCAGCGACAGAGTGGAACAGTTAGTGTGTTTCACAGATTGGCCGATGATTCACTGAACACACACACACACACACTTACACTCTCTCCGGCTCCGAGCGCCGCAGATTGTTGAGACATAGGGCCCCCCCCCGTAAACAGCCCGACGTTTGTGGGCGTCATCTATCATGGCACGGTCGGTTAACTCGCCATCATGTTATTTTCTGCTTGCCGAGCCCTAACACGCCAAAGGTTGCCCGCTGGCTGCGCGGCGCGGCACCAGCTCCAGGAGCGCCGGTAATGAATGTTTAGCCGAGCGAGCGCTCCCTCTCCGCTGGAGGGGCCCCTGGGTAATTTGTTTATCTGTCTAAAGATTACGCAGCCCTGAAAAAACAAAATCCACAATTTTATGCTGCCTTTGTAAATTATCAAGTGTGCGTTTGATGAATGTATCCGCGGCTTTTGGGAGGCGGAGGCGGCGGCTCGGGGGGGCCGGGGCGGCAAAGGTAGAGTGAGGTGGAGGCACACAGTGTGCTGACCCGCTTCCACCGCCGGATTGGTCTGAAGTTAATTTGGGTTTCGCTTTATGGTTCATTCTCGAGCTCTCTGTCTCTTTCTTCTGCAGCTCACCGAGTCACAACCGGTAGCGCCAGCCTGCGTGTGTGTGTGTGTGTGTGTGTGTGTGTGTGTGTGTGTGTGTGTGTG